TGTATAACCTCTCGAGCAGGTACTACCCCCGGAGACCTGGTTAAAATCGGCAGAGGTGTGTGTGGAGAAAACGAAAATTTGTGCGAATATAAACGACGACGAGAGAATCCAAAAACTTTGTCGGACGACGATAAATCGATTACGTTATTATTTATTACTATTATTATTAGGTACCATCGTGCATATATATGAAACGATTGTGCCCGAGGTGGCTACCTGCTGCACACGTCGAAGGTAATAAAATATAAGTACGCCACGCTATCCGATATTATAGGCATTTACAACTCGATATCACCATGACACCATCATATGTTATACAAGTCCAGGAGCTACTGACGGTTTTACCTTACCCTGCATTTTAGCTCACTTGATTTTGTTATGGAATCGTACTTTCTGCATACAATCACAAAATCGGAAGTGGCGTAAACCGGCTCGTGGTGGTGCTGGAGGGGGGGGGAATTAAAAAGAATCCACCGAATATAGTGCTTCTGCCACATATGATTCTAGATTATTTAAAAATGTTATGATCGGCAGACAAAAATTTGGATTCAAATATTTTAAACATTGGACAAACCGTCAGTATTCCACACTTTTTGATCAACACTGCTCACAGTCGATAGCTGTACCTACTGATGAAGTACTTATTATAATAATGCGTCGTCTCTCGTCGGACTCTGTAAATAATAATAATATTTCATTATATTATTATAATTTTAATTTTTTTCCTCTTTGTATCGTGTGTAGATATCGGAACCGACTATGATGGACGATATTGATTTTTTGATAACATATAAAAATAATAATTAATTAAACGATTGCGATACTTAGGTAGCAGTGTATAACGTCATAACATAATTATAATACCTACGTAGTGTGCTACACTCATTTGACACTATCGCTGGTGTAGAGTAAATGATTTGTGTTCACACCTCTATGTACCTATAAATATATAATGTGTAAGTATATCTAGATACGTTAATACCAGTAGAGAAAAAAACGTAGCAAAAAATAATTACGTCATAAGTACCACAAACGTTAGAAAATGTTTTTTTCACAAACACCATATTATTTGGTTTATTTTTACGCACATACTGTCTGGACTGCAGTCATTTAAAAACAAATTTAATTTAAAAGTATTTAAAACTGAATTAGCTTGAAAATTGAGAATAAATATTTTAGGGATTTAATTATTCGATTAGGTACACAATAATACAGTATTGTGGAAATATACATAATATGTAATAAGATTTAATAATGACAACATTATAGAATTAAGCTTGAAATATAGGTAAAAATGATTTGACTAAAAAATGAAAAAAATTATATTAACATTAATAATGAACGTTATACAAATTTATAAAATTATGATGATTAATATTTAATACTTTAATATTGCTTTTATTAGAGTTTGTATGATATGAAAATAATAATTTAAAATAGTACAACTACATTTTTAATAAAAGCTCTGAAATTCGGTTCCCTGTACCAGTGAATATACAATATATTTTATTGTTTATAGCAATTTGTATTTTATTTATAGATTATTGTAATATAAAAGTTTAGTTTTTAAATAATTTTACAAAAAAAAGAAGCTTTATATTATACAAATACAAACCAAAAATAGATCTACTTAATAAAAACCGGTATGGTATACTATGGTATTAACCTTTTCACCTTTCATTAATTAATTAATAAAATTAAAATATAGGTACATAATATTATACCTACTTGTGTAATGCGACTATAAGACTATAGATAGAATATAAGTATTAGAAATTTAAGCAAACCCAAAGATCACCAAACTATACCAATTTTACAGTTCGACCCGTATTTCATTAAGTTCCACGCCATTAATAAATATTTTAGTTTGAAATGAACCTATACTGGACGGTGAAAGTTTAAATCACAGAATCGATTATAATACGGGTTACTATTTTTTCGTAACCTGTAATGTCCCTTCAACGTTGGTTAAAGCCAAATATTATAATATCGCAAAAATATAGCAATAGTCTTCAAACACATCCAATAATAGGTATCCATTAGGACAGGTATGATGAGTGAATTTTGTGTTTTTAAGGAAAGAGATTAACAATAATAAAAAAAAAACCCCACTTGAATTTAATGACGCGCGTAACAATGCCTCCACCAGAGAAGTATAAAAAAAATGTATTGAACAGTATTGTATAGGTACCTATATAATACTTTAATAGAGACGTTTTTTGACACCGACAAATATACAGTAACCATCATATTATTATTCGTAACCTAAGCAAATAATATTATATTAAATATTCATTATATCGTGGCTAATAATAATGAAGAAAAACCTCGCGAGGTGGCTCGGACTACGCTCATAATATTACTCATATTATATATAGTCATAAGGTTTTAAGTTACGAGTTCATTAATAATAATAAATTTTAAATAAAGAAGCGAAAGGAAAATCATGTATAACGTGGACAACGGTCGGACACACAGAACACATACATTAGGTATCTCATGGGCTTTAAAACCCTCATAATATATTCGCCGGCTGACACTTCTTCGGCCCACGACGTCATGGAGACTGTGGGTGGTGTCTACTCCATTATGCAGGTGGAATTGTTCATGACGTTGGTTACTTCAGCCCAGAGATGCACTCAGGCGGATGCCAATTCCACGGTGATGATGTGGTATACCTAAGTCTTGGTGTCCATTACCGTTCGAGGCGGTGAAAATGTAAGAATAGAAAAAGAAAAATAAGCGATTATTTATAAGGTGACGGACGACTGACGAGAGATATTTTTAATAGGTCTATATAATCTGTACGATTTATCTATATTATAATATCATTGTGCAATGTGGTGCCGTGGTGGTGGCGGTGGTGACGTGAACGATCATTAAAATATGACCGATAATGTAATAAATAATAAGGATAAAATATGTACCTAAATAATAATAATTTATGTATTTATAGGAACCAATTTTCAAGCGAACGTTATAAAATGTTCGATAAAAATGTCTTTTGTGGAAGACGGATCTGAGGAAAACAAATAACTGACACAGCGTTTTTTTTTTGAAAAAAAATATTATTGTTGTCTTCTTACTAAACATATTTTTTTGGTTACAAAAAAAAAAATTCTATTTAGTCTTACGTACACGTTATTTAAAATAATATTACTGTTAAATACAATAATCTTACATTACTAAAAAAAAAAAAAAAAAATAATAATAAATGTACAACAATGACTTGTCTTAAAGTTATAAAATATATTTAACAAGTATATTTAAACAAATTGTATTTACAGTATAGAAAAATCCGTAGCTTCTAAAAAAATGAACGTGAAATTAATATAATATCGTATACATACATATATATTATGTATACTTATAAGTAATAACTTGTAAACGGTATATATAATATGTACGTACATTTATGCGTATTACGGTTAGATACTTTTTTTTTTTTTGAATGGATGGAATTTCGAAGAAAATACGTAGTGGTACCTACGATGAAACTAAAATAGATAAAAATCATGCAAGTAAAAAATTCTGTACATGATGAAATATTATTCAATACTGCTAATTAAAAAAATGGGAAGGAGCAAGTTAAAATTAATTATTTTTTAAAAATTATTCGTGAATTTTTTTGTAATTTTTTTTTTTGTTATTTTTACATAATTATTTAATAAATTTAGCGCCTGGGGAGTGCCTAAGCGTTACTGTTAGCTAGGTCTAGACGCTACGCAGTGTAAGTATACAATTTTTGTTGGACTTACGTATGGTGCTAACTGTAATTTTTTTTTCAAACCTTATTTTAAAAATATATTGAGCTCGCTTAAGGCTCTAATCGCATCGGAAACAATAATAATTTATACAAATAAATATAATTTAAGTACATTATTTAATTAAGTGAACAGAGATACTTTTAACAAACTAATATAACTAAAAAATACAAAGTTGATTGTATTACGCTAAGAGTGTGTGGGGGGGGGGAAGTAATAATAATATACTTAGTGATAACCGAGTCTTATTGTCAAAATAAATACATAATAATAATAATAATAATAATAGTCGTAATAATAATAATAATAATAGTAATAAAATAATACAAAAAAATAATGTAATAATCATGATATAGGTCCTACACACTATAATGAATAGTGTCATGTTTTGAAAACGTCACGACCGTGTATTGCTATAACAAAGCACCATAACTTTACTGTTATATGTATAATAATAAAGAGCCACGCAAAAAAATTGAAAAAAAAAATTGTAAAAAAAATAAAACTGAAAAAATAATATGAAGCTCACTCTATCATATTATAAAATATTATGCCTAATTGGGTAGTATAATAACATATTATTTCCATATATTTATTAAAAAAAAATCTAACAGCTACATTATCACAGAAGATTGTAGATAAAATATGTATATATCGTAAAAAAAAAAGGTATAGTATAATAATATCGCCCGTCGCTCGTCGCGGTTATAGTTTAAAGCTTATATAGGCAGTCTGTACATTAAATTCTAATTATTAATATAATATTAAGTACATAATATACATTATACACATCACTATATAATATATTATACGTATACACGCATTTCCTGTATTGCGTATTATAGGTACAAACACTTATACCTTACAGGTGTTATATATTATAATATATACGTGAATCTGCATTAAATTTAACAAAAAAAAATCCTCTTATACTATATTATACTTAACGACTATGACGACGACGACAACGACTATATAATATTATGATGACGTTTTTACCTTTGCAATATATTGTGTTATATATTGTTATTACATTTTTTTTTTTTTCATTTTTTTCCGCGGCGACTGACACGACGATGACGGTACATAACATTAACGCACATTATAATACAATATTATTATATTATATTATTATTATAGCGTGTACACGGGATGGGGCTGGTGTTTGCGGTGGCTGTGGTGGCGGCGGCGGTTGCTTCGGCGGCACCTCGTATATTATCTTACGGTATATCCTCCTTATAGGGCCGGGCTTGCGTTTAATTCGTTTGACAGGAGACCCTGGGCGATAGCGGTATCGTTTTGCCTTGAGCTACTGCATTGCTGTGAAACGCATAAAAAAAAACACACACACAATATAATAATGTTGCACCGAACTCGCATTTTATTAGGTATAATGTGACTGGACCTGTCAACTACAACTAACCAACCTATATATGCGTTCAGCAGGGCACGAGTAATTAGTTTGTAACGTAATAACTTTTTTCAAAATATTATTTTTGGGAATTCGCTAAATTTTAACAAATTTTGTCGAACCTTTAAATATAGCATCATTTTTTTTTGTCAGGTCTTCCTGTTACACCCTGCAGCATACCTCTATAGGTACACTGCTATAGGTATCTAATTAATAGACTGGTACCTATACGGATAACCAATGGTGTTTAAAGTAAGCATTATAGTTTATAGGTACCAATAATGTATAAGACCTCTGCCTAGGCGAATCTCTATTTTTCTGATCCACCCGAGTTTTGCTTTTATCGATTACAAATTGTCGTACGAATAACGTTTTAATTGTACCACAGCGTACCACCCCGGGCGACGGCCGCCTATATCCCCGAAGTCTCATTTGTGCTTACGTTCTCGCTCATGTGTTCGAATTATACGATAGTATAAAATATTATATTACGACGTGTACTAACGCGATATTGATTAATCGAGCAATTAAATCGGGCTCAGTGTATAATATATTATATTATTAATATATATACGACACGACGCGACAGATGTTTGCGCCTGATACTAGAAAATTCGATACTATATTATAAACGTCTTTTATATATATATCAGTCGACGTGGTATAGTTTACCGGAATAATTAACGACGACGTCGTCTCCGGACTGCATTAAAACATCGTACTCGTCTTAATTCGCCGAGAACTTTTTCAATTACTCGACGAGTTGTTATCCGAATATAAGTATGTCCGAAACGCTAATCGGCGGGGCGAAAAGTTTTCCGCGGATTCCGATATAATATAACGGTTTCTTGGCGTCAGTCGTCGCGCACGCGGTATCTTTTTGGCTCGTTCTCCGAATCAACCCTCTTCTCCCTCTCCCGCCATGGTGAAATTTGACTTACTGTCTCGTATAATAAAAACATCGTTTATACAGCGGCCATATAACTTTAAACGTTATTAAACGACGAGCAGAATAATTTGAACAATTCCCTCCTCTAAACACGAGTCGAGAATAATTAGATTACGGCGTTCGATAAACACGGAAGAAAAGAAAAAAGAATTCGTTTGCACGGTAAAAGGCGCCGAGGTGCTACAATAATACCCGCGATGGATAGCGATTGCCGAAAGTAAGCCTCCCTTCCCCAAAAATCTATACCTTTCACACCGTTCGGTCCCGTCTCGTAAAACGTTATCTACACTCTGTTTATATTTATTTGGTAACGCAGAGCGAAAGGTCTGTCGATCGATAAATTTCTCCACCGAGATCTCACGGTTTAAGTTCGTTTTTTATAGGCAACTCGCCTCCCCATCACGAAGAATTTATTTCATTATATATCGTTGCACTGCGCTATTATACTCACAGCTTGTTTTTTCTCCCAAGATTTCATTGCGCTCTTGTACTTCTGGAACTCGTGGCACCAGTCCGAGTACACCCGATGGTAGTCCGCCGATCGGGCCGGTGGAGAACACCGGTGAGCGTCCACCGTCAAGTTGAACGTGCACAACAGGGCGCCGGCCAGCTGACAGTCGTACCGGCCGCCGTCCTCTTCGGACGCTCCGACGATCACCATGCCACCTTCGACGGTCGCGATGTATTTTTCCACTCGGCTATAATAAATAATAAATTAAAAAACATGTCTTACATGAGAATTTTGCGATACCGAATACCGATAAAAAAAAAAATTGAATGTTTTCTCGTCTGGTTGAGACAGCGACGTTGTGCATAACGCGATCCGAATTTTATCGTAAATTATTCAATAATGACTCGCGTCCGCCCACTGGTAAAACTAGGTACCTACGTATTCCGGTCGCCGAATGCACTGTAATGGTATAGTAACAACATGACCGACGGAGGGACGTAAGACGACGGTCGAGTGACGCGTGGGACGGACTCGGTTATCGGATCACGCGTTAGGAATAAGGGTAGTATAATTCGACGTGTACGTGAGCCGGGGTGGAAAATTAAGAATTATAGGAGCGGACGACGACGACGACGATGACGGCGGTGGCAACCGTGGTATGGAGGAACGATACGCGGTATATATAGGTGCAGCGCTCTGCGTAATTGGACCGCGATCGTTATATACCCGCCTACCCGCGCGAGCAGAACGCGAAACAATTGCCGAGAGCTCGCGGTACACCACCCGGTACATAATAAATGTAAATTCAATTTCTTCGAGTACGGGGACCGCGGTGTATATTTCGGTATATCATAATATGCCGTGTACGACTACTACAACAGTCGTCAGCGATTCCTCGGGAAAATATATTCTCCTTTATACCCGCGGAGAGCTTCGAATTTCTGATTTAATTTCTTCGCAGAATTTCCTCGTCGCCCCCAGCTGCATCCGTTTGAATAATAAACGATGTACCTATACTGCTATTATCATCATCATTATTACGAATTTATACGACCGCCCCGAATCACATAATAATAATAATAATAATAATAATATATTATCGGGTTTACCTGAACGAGACCATGTACCGTCCCTTCTCCTTGCTGTGATGGTACCAGGTGACCGGGTACACTTTCAGCACTTGCGGCATTTTCACGAAACAGCTGAGGTGTACGCTCTGGCCGAACGTCACGGTCAGCCTCTTGTTGACCACCGAGCTCTCGCACACGCTCCGCGACGAGTTGGTCACGTCCTGAAGGAGCCTGCAAAAAACCACAACAAACGGACGTTCAGTTATCGTCACAACAGTCATCATGACTTGTTGACTTACCCTGGCTGGTAGGGTTTGCAGGTCTTGGTCTGCTTGTCCCATCCGCAGTACGGGTCGTGGACGCACCGCAAGCAGCTGTCGTACCGGTGAGTGCACATTGACAAGTATATCTGTCGGACGCTCTCGTCGGAAGCCACGTACAGGGCCTTGTGCTGGACAAAACAGAGTGCAATATTATATATAAGTTATATTGGAAACGTGAGTCGTGTGTACATAATAAAACTTTATATGTTGGCACGATAAGACGCAGGTATACTATAATGTAATTATTGTATACCAGTGAGTAAACAATAGGGGGAGGCTATTATAAACAATATATTATGTTACTCGATCAATTTATTTGGAACTAATATTAAAATAATAATAAATAATTAAATAAGTAATAATGAAAAACTTACTATAACAATACTACTATAGTAATACATATTATGTGAAATAAAAATAAAACAGAAATCGTTGGATCAATAAAAAAAATTGAAAAAAATTTTTTTTTACAGTTCAAAAACGAATCAACTATAGACACTTGAAATAAATTAAATATTTATTCTAGCATATTGTATGATATGGAATCATTTTCATAGTTTTTATTATAAATATTGACCACAAATGTTATGCTCGGTTAAAAAACTTGAAAATGTAATACAAAGCTTCTCATACGTTGTATTTTTGCTGTATAACAATTTTAAAATATCGAAAATACCTAAATTGGTACAATTTTTTTATAAGCATTTGAAGTTCTAATTTTGATTAAATTCGTCAAAACCACGAACATTTGTAAATGTTATTTTCTAATTAATAATTCATACAATGTTAAGATTTAATAGCTAACTTATACAACAATGTCCTCACTATAAATTGTTCTTTGAGAAATCTAAAAATTTCGCACATACCCACAATTATTTTATACTTTATAAACAATAGACATTAAGATATTTAAATGAAATATATAGTTTTTAGTTATTTTGTCGTACTCAATTCAAAAAATATTATTCGTAGGAACCTTTTTGCCATTCTGTTTATTATTGTATCTATAGCTGGTAATCCATTAGCCGTTTATTATAATATGATATACACAATTACATTTTCAAAATATTTAGTTAAATTTTAAGTCATTAATACCACGAACCAATTTACACCGTTCTACGCTACGTATGTAATTGGTATTTCTATATATTAACTAACAGCCATTAATATTGTATGAAATTATGTTATAATATTATTATTACACAACATATGTGATTTGATTTTGGCATGTTTAGTTCAACCTATCGGTTATTGTGTAATATACAATTAAATTACCAATCGCAATATACATAAATTATAATTAAATACCCTCAGACCGATAGACCGTATCCGCTCGGAATCGGTTTCAAACGTATACCTACAATGATGTATCATTAAATTAAAATTTAACAAATCCATTACTAGAAGACGTTTGACATTCTACAACTATCATAATATAGTATATAGGTGTATACCTAGCATACCGACTTTCCGTGTATTTTTTTAAACGCGTAAATAAATGTCGAATAGGTTGTTGTTATTATTTTCATTTTATATCATACTGTTCAACGGGGATGGTGCTCTCAAATACACCCCTGACGAGTCACTGCGGTTAGCGGAATACGAGTGGGTTATGTATACCGCGGTATACACGTGTTGTAATGACGCGATGTTATCGCGAGTGCAGCCGAGTGCGAATAACGTTTGGCAAGTCCTAAACAAATATACGGACGGGTATCGTCGTCGTAGCTAGTGGCTGCTGCTGATTGGGCTTTATGAGATTTGTATACATTCACGCGTGCCAAAACTCGGCAGCGGCGGCGATACAGCTGCAGCGTTTCTCTAATCAATCGCACCGCGTCCGGGGAGTACCGGAAAGCGAGCATTAATCATACGTGTACCGCAAAAGCTATTTACCGTGTTTAAATAACTATAGGTATATATGTATGTATAAATCTATTTATTGAGACGGGATGGAATTCGATTTCGTAGTCCGCGTGTACCCCCGAGGCACCGCCAACGCCGGAATACATAATAACAACAATAATTTTAAGGTCGGGCCGAAAGTGTTGACGGAAACGTGGTGACGTGGAAAACGAGGAGACCTGCAGAAATCGGCTAGGGCGAGGAAATGCATTCTTCTTCTCCCTCCACAGCGACCCCTAGAAACTACCCCATTGCGCGCACGCGGTCATACAACAAATCACGACCGACTGCAAGTTAACAATGTAATAGTATATACACCTATATATTATATAAAGCAGATGATATACGTCATTTACAGGTTAATTTACTAAAGGTATATAGTCGAACACTGTACCGGGAGAATATAATAGTCACTGGGCGTCTTTTCCCTTTACGCCCGCTACTCGATGAGTCACGTTGCCACTGTTGTTTGCAGGCTCGTTAACGGGGGATTACTAATCGTTCAGATACCATCATTAAAAACGACAGTAGAAACTCGGCGGGAGGGTTCCTTAGCCGTGTGGCGGCGTCTGATGAACTGTAAAACGGTTTTTAAGCGCGGACGTATTTCGTGAAATTACCTCGTTTTTGTGCTCTATAGGTGTTAGGTTTTATATTCTGAGTGGTTGAAATTTAAATGACGATGAACGGTGTTTGTGGTATCGCCTATTTCGACGGGCTTTTAATGGTCTCTGATTACGTCTATCTACGGGTACCTTGTATATATATGTAACATATTTTAAATTACGGTTCGTTATCCGGAATGCACTTATAAATATCGTTTCGTATAGATGAGAACACACCCTCCACGGCGCGTTTGGTATACTATAATATGCACTATACTATATATATTATACATAGTTTCCGGTGTCAAACGCCATATGGGCATTGGTTTTTGTAAAATCACAATCAAGTGTTACGCGCCAACGCCCCGAGGGGTAGAAATGCTCCCCATTAAAATGTACTCATGTATTCTTCAATACAACGCGGGGGAGGGGGTGAGAGATAACGAAGTTCACTTAAATACGTGGGATAATGATAAAACAAACCTTTCTGGATATTTCCATCGCCGTGATGGGCAGACCGGGCATGATGTCGAATATGTCCAGAAGAGCAGATCCGGGTACACCTTCGTCGTTATACCACTGCACCACTTTGTAAACGCGGCCTTCGTCTGTGAAAAATGTCAATTTTACGGACGTGTTATAATTAAAAAATAAGATAAAACGTATTATACGCGTAATTTAATGGAAACTCGTAAGACGAAAATACAATTGGAAAAAATGATTTGCATTTTATATAAAAAAAAAACTCATTGGGATTTGGTGTCTTGAATTTTATACATAATATTTGAATAATATTACGATAAGTAATTTAAATTTTAAACTTACTTGTAGCGGCGTAATAGACGGTGTAGTGCAGATGATTTCCGAACACGACGTAATCGAGAACGTCTACTACGAGACGGGTAAAGAACAAGTCACGCAAGTAAAATACCGGTTCGTTGTCTTTGTGAGCCACCGCTTCGTCCATGAGAGGGTGACTGCGGATGAAATTCAATACGGAATCTAAACACGACAACGATAATAATATTAAGTGTGCGAAATTTAAGTATTACCTTCAATCAGATCGTACAAAATAATAATATGTTCCTACTCGCGTATATAGGTAGGTACGTTTACAACACTATTTCGTATTACGTTGTGATACATATTATTATTATGTCACTATAATACACATCACTGTAATAGCGTTTACAAGGCGTCCACAATCATTTTTTATTTATTTATATTTAGGACAGTTTGGCGTTTAATTTGTTTGCGTAGTGAAATCGAATTCACATCCGATCGCGTCCAATTAAACTTATCGGTTATCGTATTATTTACCTGGCAAAGTCTCGGTGTCGTTGACGCACTGCCCGGGTCTGGGTTCCGGTACCTTGGTAGACAGTACCGGTAGCCAGGCCGACGTGGAGCTGGCTTGTTCCTTGAATCGGCCCGCGAAAGCGTGATCGATGTCCTCTAGCCGGAAAGTACATATGGCCGATCCCATCAGACCGGTAGTGGACGTGGTGAAAACGCCGTAGAAAAGTGTATCGTCGTCCGGTACCTTGTAAATGCTCTCTGAATGGAACAGAAAATGTTAATTTCGATTCAAGGCGGACATAGGTATAATATAATACTTACGGATTTCGTTGAAGTAAAACGGATATTCTCCTGGTATGGAACAGTTGAGCCGGGCCTTCAGGTACGTGGCCCAGTTGTGGCTAAGTATGCTCTTGCCACCCGTGTCTTTCTTGCACACCCTGGCCACGCGGGAAAATATGCTCTTGCCGCAGTTGATGTACTCGACGGCTGTCTCGCGGAAGAAGAAGAATACGTATTGGCCGATGTCGTAGGAGCCCACAAAGTCTGGTTCTGTGAAATAGAAAAAAAAATGTTTAACGTTTATTTGCTGCTGTAGTCCGATGGATACGCTGTAGACAATTCCATACAGCGCTTGCAAATAATAGATACAATATTATTAATAATCTTCCTATACTCGAATATAACATATTACGAGTGAGGGTGGATAGAAAATCAGAATATCATTGTCCGCTGCGAAAGTGTCGCAATATTCTTATACAAATCACGATATCGATGTAGGGAGTACGAGTGTTTGACTTAAGTCCATGAGAGTCGAGTGAATCGATAATGTAGGTCGTATGTGCACGCATATCCGTTTACTTTTGATTATTAAAAGTTTGTGTGACGCACTGTACGGCGCACACACATAATATTATACATCCTCGTACACTCGTATATTATATACACTACGCATCCATCACGAGACGCGTTCAAACTTATTTCGCGGCTTAATTATACTCGTCGTCGTTGTTATTAGTAGTAGAACGCGAGGGCATTTCGAGGGGTTAAACCCCGCGGGAGAGAGCAGCTAGCACGTCTGTTTAGGTGCAGTGCACATGTATATAATAATATACGCAAGCAGACAGTGACGATTTTCGGGGTGACAGCTGTGCGGGGCGGTGGCGTACATACACAGCTAGTGGCCTTTGATACAGTCAATTCGTTTACGCTCCGCCGAGCGTGTGACAGTTTTTTTTTATTTTTTTATTTTCGTAAAAGGGTGCTGGCGTTCGTTATCTTTCGGGAAGTCAAAAAATATGAATCACCGAGTAAGAGTGGAGGACCGACTGCATGGTTATAGGATCACATTATACAGGACTAAGTCGACGGAGGATATAATACTCATATAATAATATGGGGGGGGGGGGGTGTCGGTCGGCGGTAGAGTCCGTCAAAAGTTACACCAGCGGCACCGGCGGCGATGGCGAATATTGTTATTCGTCGTCGTCGTCGTCCACCGTGCTCGTATGACACACATATATACGAGGGGAGAATATAATATATATATTACACGCTGTCGTGTATAAAATATCCTTCTGGTCGGAATATATATATATTATTTTTATCACTCCACACATAATATCCACATACATATATTATAGGACAGCGCCTCGGGCGAGTACGTTTCCGCGCGGCGGATGATAAACCGTTTTAATCAGCGGCGACCGAGTCCGGTGTGCATTCGGTGGGCCAGCTACGCCGGGGAGGCGTTTATAGAGCGATCGAAAGTCCTTTGAAACCTGCGGCGGCGACTGGATCGTTATCATATTATATTATTATGGGGCTTTGCGAGGGGTTTTACGGCGAAACGATTATCGCGCGAGAGTATAAACGGATTTACGCGTACGTAGAGAGCTGCTGCTGCACAGCTTGCGTTGCGACTGATTAATTATTATAATATATTTAAATGTGCACGCACACACATCGCACCACCGGTGGCGACGTTCGCAATGATTGTGTTTTTATGATTATTTTTTCTATGCATAGGTATAGTTACGCGTCGTATGTCGTCGCGCGAACGTATAAATGGCGAAAAAATAACGTAATCACGCTTTGTTGGCGAAAACGCGGCTAGCGCGTTACTATAACGAATACAATTTCGTAGAGTCGGGCGGGCGGGGCTAGGGTGTTGCGCACGAGGCGAAACCCCTCGACAAATATGGGGGAGGGGGTGGTGGAATTAATCCCGCATACCTATATAACATATTACACGCACGAGAATATACGGGGAAGAAGATTCCGGAGTGGATTGAAATAATAAAACTGTGCTCGTTTGTTTACGATGAAAAACTGAAGTCGATTTATGGTCCACACACGTATGCGCGGCACATGTAGACGTACGCAATAATATATACGGCTGTGCGTGTAATCGATTGTGTCGGAATTTGACTTTTCGTTTAAAAACTTTTACGAATACCGAAAGCCAAAAATATGTCCATTCGTCTGAAAAAATACTCGAGTAACTTTTCCCCCCTCTTGAATTGAAGACTCGTCAGTGGTACGGAACAATAATAGAACAGTTTTTCCATGATATCTTTGAATTGAAAATAGTTTGTTTTCCGTGTTCGACGGAATAAACTCATTCAAGCGAAAACTTTGCGGTTTGGGACTTTGCACATATTATTTAATTTTTTACTTCCCGACCGATGTGTTAATTATTAAAATTGAACTTTGTGTCTTACCACTGTCAAACGTTTTTAAATAACCATATTATCAAATGAATGTTTTGAAATATCATAATGTGTAACGGTCGTAAACATTCTTTGACAGTTTTCATCATTATTCTTGTGAACCCCTTTGGAAATTGATAATCTTCTCAGTCATGATTAAAGTTTAACCCTTTAAATACGGACTCGTTTTCCATTTGTCCAAACAGACGAATCGATAAACCCCAGAATTAGTCATACCGACATTATAATAGCCAACTTTATTTTATTAAAATGTTTAGCGACTGGCGTGTTTACTTCGCGTTTCACTATAATTCCGTTTTATTTCATTTGTATTTTTACAGTACATACCCGTGGTAAACAATTTAGTTTTGAAATTAGTTTTAATATATTTGTATATTGATTGTTTATTATTATATTGTTACACGAATAAAATACTGGGGACTGGGGTACTGCGTGTCTCAATTGATTTTTTAGTCGAATTTTATCTTTGTTGAAACCGCTTTCATGTGAAGATTAACTTTAATAGTCGTCTCACCTCGATTTTCCCTCTTCTCTCTCCGAGCACTTGCATAAGTACCTACTCATAATCTACCAAGAGGCTTTTGAATTAAGTATTGACCAAGGTAAACTGATAGCACGCATTTAATTTAAGTCTGATACATTTTTAATAAGTTAAAGTACATCTAAAACTTCCGCTCAGCCATCATTATTATTGGACGATAACCATAACTGTTATGTTTTGGAAATCCTCTTTTGGCCCGGAGGGTATTAAGACTTTCATTATCACGTTTATGGGATAATTCGAAAAACGTGTCTCTAATTTACGGGGTTTTTAACTCCAATTAAAAACACTGAAAGAGGGAAAACGAAATAACCCGTTAGCCGACTGTTGTTAGGGCAAAACAATTTCACTTTGGGAAATTCAAAAAAATAAAAAAAAGTATTTGGGTCGATGGGTTTCGTTTTGATTTTAAGCAATAGTGCCTTTTTCCAACTTTTATGAACTCGATATTTTATTTCACAGTGGTGATATACATAATAATATAAAAGGTACCTAGATAGGTATACATAAAAACCCTATAATAATATATACATCCGAAGGTAACATTTTAAAGGCAAATAATGTCCAAGTTATATTTCAAAGTTAGATAACCTAACCTACAAATAAATATATACCTATGTATTTATAAATATTTTATAACTATTCAATCAATATTAATTTTGATAAGAAAAATAGGTTATGTTAGATAAATCGATAGGTGCCCCTTACTTGATGACGATTTTTTAAATGCATAATATACCTAGTACATTTATTTTATAGCCATTGGTCGTAAAATATTATTTGAGAACATTAACGTCGTTCTTTCGACATAAAACAATGTTATTGATTAAATCGACCATTTCCGTGCGATAAAAACTATATGGCGCGAGTTTATATTCGTCGTCCGTCCAGCTGTGAGATGTGGTGAATCGTTTTGGAAACCGAGCGTGATCTCCCTCGTAATCGTCTGTCGTTCGTGAGTCGTGGGCGAGACAATCGGAAATCGAGAAAATAAACAACAAACGAAAACCGTATTTTTTCCCATTGTGCGCCTTTAGCGCGAAATTATACAGTACCTACCATTTTTCAATTTCCTCGGACTATTCGAGGGACACCGCACGCTGCAGGGGGGGGAACGGGACGTCTGTGGATTCCTGTTTAAAATATTTTCTATATTCTGTCTGACGTTATTATGGTCTGGAGAATCAACCGGTGCCCGGAGAGACGGGCACGCACGCTTTTTCGACCCCCCCCCCCTCCCCTGGCCCCCAAACGGGTAAAAAGCGACGTTCGTCGTGGTCGTCGTCAGCCGCCGCCGAGCAATTTATCACCCGCCGCGCGCTGTCACGTCTTGTCAGTTATCCGCGGCGACGGATTATACACACGGCCACGGAGACCCGGGAGAGCCCGCATTACCACGAGAGCACACAATACTTACACACACACACACACACACACACACACACTCATAAATGTATATAATATATATATATCAGACGTGGTCGGTTGTTGGGGTTCTTGAGACGTTTTCGACTTTTTCTCCGTTTCAGTTCCTCCCGCAGTCCTATATACCTATTGCCGACTCAAACTTCTTCGCCCTCCCGAATCCCCGGCAAAGTCACTGCGGGCGTTTTATCCCCAGCCGGTATACGTGTTTGCGTTTCGAAATAGCGCACGTCCTCCTCTCCGCCATAAGCCTCCCGAGTACACGACCACAAAGGCAGCGGGGCACCGTAAGTATATATACGCGTGGCAGTCATTTACATATCATAATATATATGAGAAAAAAGACCTAACCACCCCAGCGCGCGCCGTAATAGCGTCGGCCAACTCGCGTATATATTATTATGTCTATATTATACGCATAAACACGATATATAATAACGGGCGTAGGTGTATAAAACCGATCGACGTAAACGCAGTAGATATATTATTATTATTATTATTATAATGTTATACAATATTATACGACGGTACGAATATTATATTACGTCGCTCGGTCAGAGTCCAATAGATAATATAATACCTATAATACATATAAACGAGCAGCACGGCAGCGCAGGTCTCGGTCGCGAACACATTATTCGGGTGCCATTGTACTATATTATACTCGTGACATTATAATATTTGAAATATTAGACAGTAGTATGTGGTAATTTATCGCGAGTAATAATATTACAGCCGGAATGCGTTGATATTATAATATTATATTATACACTCACTGTCGAGCCAGTTGGAGTCGTATTTGAGGGTCCTCTTGAACGCGAACTCCTTGCGACCAGAGGTCAAGTTGTACAGGTCCGTCCGGAAGATAACTGTGTCCGCTTTGGTGAACTCGGCGTTGGTGCCACTGTACAGAGCCGGCAATTGTCCAGGATTGCCCTTTTCCGACCAAATGGCCGTCGAGTTGTCCAGCGGGTCGTACGGACACTTGGCCGTGCCCAGACCCACGCCGGGCACGTACTCGTGTCTGGGAAGATGTGTCAGATTGGACTATGAGCGTGAAAAATGACAAAAATATAAAATTAGAGTGTGATAAAGGGTAAATTATTGTACGGACAGCTGCTGCTGGTATATATATATACTCACGTAGATCACGTAGTCCTTTGGATTGTGTGCGTTTGTGCCGCAAATGTATATCCGGCTACCGTCACCGATTGACTGGATGACTCGGATGTGGTTTCGGCAATCGAAATTCTGTGGAAGTAAAAAAAAAAATTGTCAATACAATTTAAATTTAAATCCAGCCGGTGGCGCGTGAAACCAAGGACGTGAGAGACTTTGATAAATGTTATAATATACTTAATATATACTCGGAGAGACGAATCACAGCGATAGCGTCGCCTAAGTAAATTGTCTTTGGGTCAAGTGCAGAGTACGGAACCAACAAACGGACAAAAGTTTATTCAGATGTATTAAAGGCAACCGAAAGTTTCATAAACATGACGGGAATTAAGCGAGTGAATCTACTGGATGAGAAGAAAGGAAGACAAATGGTAACGGTGTCCTTCGGACGTGGATCACGAGTAGCGCGTTGTGGCCACTTTGTCCGATTGGGGTTGTTGGACTGCATAATTATTTTGACGACTCTAGAGTTTTTTCCTCTCACATTTTTTCAATCATACTAATTCCGTGAAATGTATAAGTTGTAATTATTATTAAGTTAATTCGCTGTTTCTAGTTTTCTTTTATTTATATTATTACCTGTCGTAATTGTATAGGTGTGTTTGGGTCAATATTAATAATAGGTATATTGGTAGAATAGGTAGTTTTTTAAAATTAATAATTTAGGCGTTTTATATTGATGTAATATAATATGATATAATATAGTGTCCGTCATTTTTGAATACTTAAAAAATAATAATTACATTAAAAGTATTCGATTTCACTCGGAAATAAGTTTTTGTTTTAAGAAAAAAAAAAAAGAAAAAGTTGTGATTATAATAGTCACCGGAGCAAAAAAACAAAACAAATTTTGATTTTCTACTTTACATAATATTAGTGTAGGGTTTTCAAAAGCTTTTATGCCATAGTCTTTATTAATATGATTATTTTTTTTTATTCAGACATATTCTTTTCTATGAGATTATATATTATTATTTCACTATGGAAGAAGGAATGATGGTATCTTTTGAAACGCTGTATGTATTATAAGCATTTTAAATTTGACTAAATATAGAATACCTATCACATTGTGTTATTTTTCTTCAATAACATATTATTAACTTATTTTATTGCGTGATACGTCTAACCTATATTTAATAGCGTTTCAGTAATTTATTGCAGAAAACATAAATAACGATTTACATTTTAATATTATGAAAATATTTTTTGGTCATTAAAAATAAAAGTAAAATTATGAGGTCCTCGTGCACATCAATAGAAAATATTTTTGAACTTTTCCAACCTTATTATTATTTTTTTTACCTCCGCGCTGCCCAATATACATATTTTAACACATTTGTAAAATTTAAATTGACAATAATGTATTATATATCCATAAAGTAGGCGGTATTTCGTGTAACTTTCGTGTCAAAGATATTATTATAATTTGAGTCAAATATTACATTTATGAATTCGTTTACAGTGTTACTGAGAGTTGCTAAACAAGGTGCCATCAAGAAAAAAAACCAACAAACAAAGATAGAATAAATTTAATAAAAATAAAATTACCGAGGAATATCGTCGTAATATTGTAAGTATTGCGTAATGTTATATTTTAGATAGGTAGGTACTCGTTAGTCGTTTGTGTATCGTATATAATGCACCGTAACGATTTGTGACTGAATTATTTAGATTCGCAGTGAAACAGACACCAGAATATCGTGATCGCTGGTAAAAATAAGCCGAAACACGCGTCAACGGGTTCGTCATCACATATAATAAATCGCATATATGCACTCCCCTATGTATGTAATAATTTACATTCGCGATGCGAGATTCGACGACAAGACACAAACAATATTATGATATTATTATTTAAATAGGCGGATACGAAAACGAAAAGTTAACGGTGAAAATACCCTCGTCTTACCCGCGTATGATAATATAAAAATACATATACATGACGCCTACCATGTCGTACCTATATAGGTATGTATATTTTTTATTATTCAGTAAATTTTCCGCGTGCGTCGACCACCACTGTGACGAGACGAGCCGAGTGTCTCCGGGGAAACGACAATAATATATTATATAGGTATACCCATCCAGACCGGAGTTGCACACTGCACAATAATGGGCGGTTTCAGCGGCGAAACTTCGTTATTGATAACGTTTCGTATATATATTTATATCAGTGGCGTGCCACGGTGGTGGTAGAAAGTGTGGGGTGAGCGTCGAAAAAAAGTTACACAAGTACATAATATATATAAAATATCTATAAATATATAAGTATATAATGCACGTACTCTGCGTGTGCCATATATATATGTTCGTGTTTTGTTGATCGATAAGAGCTCTGGCGGCGTCAGAAATAATAATATCGTGTTTTGTTATGTATCGCTATCTGTATAATATACAAACCAGGAAAAGTGTTTTTGGCGACAGTGTGACATCGTGGTCACCCCTCCCTCCGATATACAATAATATTATTGTCAATCACTACATACGACGACACGATGAGTTGGCTTGCGGCGAAATGCAACCAACAGGCGAAATACGCATATAATATTATTATACATATTATTATTATATGCGTTCCGACTAGATATTGTTTGTTTTCGTATAATATTTTCATATCGTGAATTCGCACACGATTAAAGCTCATACGTTGTCGTCATATTTATATTATTAACAACTTTCATTTTAAGTTTTGTGCTTCGACGGGAAATCGCCTCTGTTTTTCGCACACAAAATTTTTACGTATTTTAAATACGTCGTACACGTACGTGGTACGTCACTCTGACACTGTTGTTTATAAGAGGCCTCCGACCTTTTTTTTTGTTTTTTTAAGCGGACCCGATTCGAGATTCATTTTAACATCGCAAACCAAAATTGTTTGGTGATGGGTAGAGAAATAATGCGATTGAAAAGAGAGAAGATTCGTTTTATTATTTTATTTCACTATAATTGTGCAGAGGTCCAAAAATCATTTTTATTATATTATTTTTATCGAATTTTACCGATTTTCCTATAATAACAACTCGGATATACTTGGAGTTTCAAATCAAATAATCAGTCAGCTCATAGGTACAGATTTTTGCTGTAAATTCTATTCTATTTTTATCTATCATAATAATATAGCCATATGTGTATAATATATACGTACAAATATTAAAATGTACAGTAGTCAAATAGTGAGTTTGCGCGTATAATAATAATAATAATTTATTTCATTTTGTATGAAAATAAAGTCCATATTTTTACTTATTTATTTTAAGTAAATATAATAATATAGGTATAGAGAAAAACAATCGAAGTCCAGTAGACACGGATGTTTGCATTTAAAGCGAGTATAGGTACAAAAGAGATTAAGTCACCCAAACGATATTATACAAATAGAAATAATAATATATGTTTGAACTTAGATGGGCAGGTACTTGAATGAAAAATAGTAGAAATCCCAATTATGTTGTGTTAAAATTATTTCGGTGACAATTAAAAATATATTAAAGTAATGACGTAAAATGTGATGCAAAGAATGTCAAATTACAATATCTGAGTTAAATATTTTTTGCAATCAACTAATGGCCGTCGTTACCTATTTCTGGTGTTTCCATTTCAAAAAGTCATTTATTTTCCTACCTTTTTTTCATCAACAGTAAGTTGTAGTCAGCAACACTTACAAAAGAAGTATGTAATTAAACATTTTCGTTTAGACATGCTTTTTTTCCACGTGAATGGAAACTCCTATCTCATTGATGGTTGGAGATGGCTTTTTGTACCTTTCCAATGGCTATAACATTAACACCGTAAGCGCATAAAGTATAAATGAAATTTTCAAAAATAATTTAACGGCTATTCGATTTCATTTTATTTTTTTCTATCAAAGAAGAAAGTAGCGTAAAGTTTTTTTTATAATAGTATTTTTTTCGGTTCTAATTTCTAAAGCACATTTTATTATCTTCATTTTTTTACGACAATTCAAAAAGATATTTCTGCTGAAAATAATTATTTGTCCACATAAATGATGTATTCTGTAAGGACTACAAAACCTTTAGCGACTTAAAGTATAATACAAAAAGTGGTATGGTATTCACTGCGGTTTTATTTTGATGATGAAAACGCGTAATTTTTATTTCATTTGAAAAAGAGTAGTTAGGTAATAACAAAATTGAACAAATAAATATGACAGCAGAATGGTGGTATTCAATTAGACGACAAAACTATATTACATAATATAGTTTTTATTATTAATAAGTAATATAAAAATGTTAATAATAAGGGGAAATAATATTTCTTCGGCTAATTAATTTTTTGCATTCACGATAGGTATAGGCAAGTAAAATATGTTATGGATTACATTCACATTCATTTCAAGTACACATAGAAATATATTATATTTGTATGTATATATGATATGTGTCATTTATGTATATTGTAGGTACACGCATTATACCAAAGGAGTTCAAATGTGACGAATGAATACACCCACCCTATAACCTATCCTCTGCTATACAATATTATGTACTCGATTCAATTATGTCAATATGATGGATGAAACCAAAATAATAATAATGTAGGATTGATAAGGAATAAGCGGAAAAAAATGTATAAATCTGTTAAAAAAAAAACCATCCTATATACTGTTATACCGGTGAAATACTAATATGGAAATCGTTTTCATATTCGGTAAACATATTTTTAATTTGTTCGTCGTTGGTCGAATAAATTTCGGTGTGTTTTTTTCACATCGAGCAGGGAACCCATACGAATAAAATATGGTATATACGATGATGTTTTTTATTATTATTATTGCCTGTTTGGTGGTCGCACGGGGGAATATTTTTGGCGGCAAAAACGGAAAATTTCAATAACGTTTTGACCTCTACTGAATAATATACGACCTCGGGGTCCGGCCGGGCAATCGTAAATAATAACTCGGAAAATTATTATCGTTGCTCTCTCTCTCTCACCCACACACACACTCACAATCTCCTCCATCGTGTTCACCGCACATCCACACACAGACACTGACACACACCTCTGTGGCCTAGTCGCCAGCCGGGACCAGTCGCTAAATTACAATTGGCTCA